AACTCGTGAAAAGTATGAACCGCCACTTCGCCACGCGCAGTGCAGACGCGATTCGTGTCCATTAGACTCATCGGCTGGTCGGTTCTCGTTGCCGTTGGTGGGATATTGGCCAAGCCGTGGACGTCGTCGTCGGGGACGGTCGTCGTGGACGTCGTCGAGACCGACACGATGGCAGGAGGACGTCAGCCTATTGGCCGCGTCTTTGCGAACAGGAGGGCTGGGTGGGTCGACGTTGATGGTGCCCGATCACGGAATCGGCTACTTCGAAGAGCCGTTTGTTTGGTCGCTCCGTCTCTGTCGCACTCTTGGGCCTTCCCCGGCGGTGCGAGAAGGACAGAGCGCCGGAACGGAATCGCTCGGCAGCCATTCACACACCGTCCCAGCCAGGGGGAAGAGGGGGCTATTTGAGTTGAAAACATCACGGTTCTTCGACTTTTTGGCCAACTTTGCGGAGCCCCCGGCGGAGCCGGTGCTCCCACAGTGAGTCTGGTGCAGGCCCGGGTAGTAACCACCCGAAGGAGTAAGTGTCCAAGTCCAGAGACACCCAGACAAGCGGAAGAACGGGTAGCAAATTCACAAAGGGCGCATTGTGTTTGGCCAAAGGCAGCGAATTTCGCAATTGGCATAGATTCTTCGACGAGACTGCTTCCGTCTCCCTTGCACTACGCCGCGCCGCGCCCGAAGTCATGCCGCCCGTTCATCGGCGACCCGGCCTGTGCCCTGGCCGTGCCTCGTGACGTGACTTTCTTTAATCTGATGCCCTCAGCGCCCCGCGGCGCCCCGCCCCCGTCTCCCCCGTCGGGAGGGTGGGGGTCGCTTCGGGCCGCTTAGCGTAATAATGTCGCATCGCTGCAAGGAGGTTGTCCTCGTCATGCTCCCCGCAACATGCTCAGTACTCATTGCTCGGTGCGCCCCGCGAGCCGCGGCCCCGGAGCTCCGGAACCAGGGGCGGAACCAGGGGCGGAACCGACCAGGCGGCCTTTCTTTTGCTCCTCCCGGAAGTGGCCTTTCTTCGCCTCCTCGCGGCGAACCGTGCGTGGCCGTGTGTCGGCGCGGGGCAGCCCTGCCGAGGTGTTCGAGGTTTCACCTGGAGGCGTCTCAGTCGTCGGCGTGCCGGACGCCATGACGGCCAGACGCTGCCGCCCGGGATGGGTCCTCGACGGGGTCCTCGGCGGGGTCCTCGGCGGCGGGGCGCGTCCCTAGCGCGCCTTAGAGCGATGCACCGAACTCTGTAGAGGCCGACGCCCTAGTCGGATCGCTGCCCCGCTCGGGGCAAACCCCACCATGTCGATGACGTCCACACAGACTGAAGATGCGCTCCAGAAGGTAAGGGGTCCGTAGGCTGTTGCGACGAATGCAGACCGAAATCCCAGTAAAGTCCGGACCCAATATGAGTATGAGAAATCGAATGTTGCAGCAGCCGCAAAGTATGGTGTACTAATGACCTCCGCACACCGGATTTCTCAAATCGGATCCAGATGTTTCTTCAAAATAACATGTGTTCGGGTCCGGATTGTGTGTCGGAGTGATAGACAACGATCAAAATTTTACGTCACCTCTTTTGAACCACCTCCCCTGAAGTGGTGACGTAATGTTTGCTCCGCACGGCGTCAAAGAACAGTAAAGCAAATCGAGGCGCCCCCTTGGAAAGGGGATTCCGCGCCTGGTTCGGCACAGGTGTTGCACAGGTGATGGCGGCGTGGTGTGTGTGGCGGTCGTAGGCGCGCCACACGGGCAACACTCTCATGCCTCGCGGGCGTTAGCGGGCGTTAGCGGCACCGATAAGCCTCCAAGGGGTGAGGCGTCGGAGAGGTGTCGGCGGGGCGCTCGGCGTTCGAGACGCCGCGCCGTGTCCGCAGTCCGCAGTCTGCGGTTCCGCCCCGAGCCCGCAGAGGCCGTGGCCGTGGCGCCGAGGGCCCGCCGAGGGCCGAACACCCCGCTCTGCGCGCGTGCGTCCTAACCACAACAAACAAAAACAACAACAAGTTTGGAACTTTTCGGCTAAATCGGCAACGACCCCTCCGATTGCCTCGCCGGCACCGTCGCCCCGCAGTGCTGGCCTCCCCGCGAGTTGGCCCGGTCGACGCGGCGTGGCCGTCGACGCCGCCATGGCGGTCGTGAAGAAGTGCGTGGCCGTCGACGCGGGCCTGGTGATCCGGAACTAGTGCGTGGTCGTCAACGCCGCTATTGTGGTCGTGGTGCATGGTCGTCGTCGTCGTCTGCCGCTCACCACGCCTTGTTGGCCCCGTGCACGGTGTAGACCCTGCACTGCAGTACGGTGTACCCTTCCACTTGCTTCCCACCGCTAGATCCGCGACCGGTACTTGCCGTGGTTCGCACAGTGCACGCTTTCGGGGCGGGGGGGGGGGGGGGGATTTGGGTGTAGGCGCCATGGCCGCCATGTCGTGGCCGGCAGACTGACGGCTGGGAGGTGATGCGGCGCGGTGCGGCGCGGTGCGGTGCGCGCCCCCCGGATGCAGCCTGCTAAGTTGTTGTCGGCGTGCTCGGGGTGCAGCGGTGCAGCCGCCCCACTCCGAAGGATCGCTTCGTCGCTCTGTCTCTGTCGCACTCACGGAGCGTCCAGTAGGGGTGCGAGAGAGACAGAGCGACGAGGCTAAACCGTCGCGGAATCTGGCGGCAGCAGGCGGTTCAAGGCGCGCCCAAGTTCGCCTCTCGTTGGCCGGCGGCTTCAGTTTGCGTTTGCAGTGCTTTGCACTCGCCGGGCGGACTCGCCTCTCCGCCCGAGGGAGAGCTCCGCGGAGTGGTTCTCGTTTGCCGTAGGTTGGAGGCCGCGAGGGCGTCCGACGCACAGTGGGCCAGAAGAACGGCGCCGGCGGCTATAGCTCTGGAAGCGTTTTGAGCCCCGGGACTCGAACCGAGCGTGTGACCCCACCAACCGATTCCTCTTTCACAGAGCAATCCATTGGTGGGGTCACACGTTCGGTTCGAGTCCCATTTAGCGACTCTGGAGCTCAAAACACGGCCTTCATCGGTCTTCTGGCCCACAGTGCAGCGTGCCACCGTGCCGCCATGGAGGGCCGCGGCGGCATCGCGTCGTGCTACGCGCACGTCCTGCGGCCGCGCAAGCAGTTCCACGAACGCGTGCGGAAGGTGAGGCTGCGGCGGGAACTGCAGACTGAGAGTCGTTTTCGTCTCTCTGTCCCTTTCGCACCCCTGCGGACAGCCCCATGAGTGCGGGACAGACAGAGCGACGAAAACGACTCTCGGAATCAGTCTGCCGAGTAACAGGTGGCGGCCCGGCGGCATGACGGCCTGCAGTGGCCCGGACACGGCAGCTCGTTGTCCCTGGAGACAGATTCTACCCCCTTCCCCGCCCCGCAGTCTGCCACCCCCAGCAAGCCCCTCGCCCGCGCCACTGCCCCGTCAACCAACCCCAACCGTGTCTTTGGCCGCCCCCTCCGCGCAACATTCTCATACCGTAGTTGACGCACGATTCCCCTCGCAGCACTCGAAGTCGAACTCCGAACAAAACCGACACACCACCCCAACCCACCCACCCTACCACCCACCTCACCCACCCCAACCCCTCTCCCGCCACCCTGTCGCTCACTCGATCCCCCTCCTCCTCTGCCTTTTCTATTCGCTGTTTGAATGACAAGGGATTGGCGCCGTGGCGGTGACAGCGCTGCACGGGCCGATCTGCGACACGTGCGGCCATGAGGCCAATAGAGTTGGCGACGCGGCGGCCGCGTTACACTACACGCTCATGGCACACTCGCTACAACGCTCGTGACACTTTGGCGGCGGCCGCCTTACACTACACGCTCATGGCACACTCGCTACAACGCTCGTGACACTTTGGCGGCGGCCGCCTTACACTACACGCTCATGGCACACTCGCTACAACGCTCGTGACACTTTGGCGGCGGCCGCCACAAGTGCCAGGACACGGTGACGACGGCGACGACACGCTCGTGACGACGGCCACGTGACACGTTCGTGACACGATGACGGTGGACGTCACAGCTTCTTGACCACGGCGACGTCGGCCACCTAAGCGATGGAGGGAGGGCCCGGCGCGTTGGCGAGGCTGGCCCTCGCGCTGCGGTGCAACCAGGCGTCCGCGTCAGAGGACGCGGCGGACACCGGGGACCACGCCGAGGACGCCGACGACGCGGCCAAGGAAGAGGGCAGCCCCACGCTGTCCAGGAACGCGCAGAGCAAGCTGCGGCACTGCTCGCGCCACACCAACGCCGGGGAGAACAGGGTACTGCTAAATGTGTGAGAAAAAGTGCGGAAAAGCGTGGCAGGGAACTCCTACTGCGGCCTTTTCCAACTGGAGGCATCGGCGACGAGGACGACGAGGTGGCCGTCAAGGCGGCCACGTCAGCCTAGTGTGGCACGGCCTCCACGGCCTCCAGGGTCTCGTCCCCCGCGGCCCGAGCATGCATGCCCGGCGGCCAGGTCATGCAGGGGGCGTCGGCGGCGCGACCGGCACGCGCGCGGGGGCGTTGGCGACGGGGAGGCGCCGCGGCAGGCGCGATCTCGTGCGCGTCAGCTGACGTCTGAGGGGCGGGGTGGGGCGGCTCGTCGCGTCAATCATGCTGCAGCGGCGGCGGCACCGGGGGGTGCGGAGGTGGCGAGGCAGCGGACTGAGTCGTTTTCGTCGCTCTGTCTCTCTCGCGTCCATACGGGACGCCCCACGAGTGCGAGGGAGACAACGCGACAAAAACGACTCTCGGAAGCAGTCTGCAGGCAGGCCTGTCGTTGAACCGGGGCGTGGAGGTGCCGCCCTGCCTCGGCCCTGCCTCGGGCATGCCTCGGGGCTTCCAGGGCCAGCGGCGCAGCGGCGCCAGCGGTGTCTCCGCCAGCGAGGCAGCCCCAGGGCAGCCCCAGGCAGCCCACCAGCCAGTCTGGCCAGGAGGTTCCCGGCGTCGTGGCGGGTGCCACCAGGGTGCCACTGGTCCACTTCCACGCCCCGGCGGCGATGTCCACGGCAGAGGACCCGCACCGCGCCAACGCCGCGAACCCCGCAGCGGACCTACACGTTTAATTGTCGCAACGCGTCTTGAAGTGCGGCCGCCATGTTCGTGCACGGGCCCAAGGTGGTCCAGCAGGACTCGGAGTCGGAGGAGGAGGAGATCGACGAGGAGCGGCCCGGGGACATGCTCCAGGTTCGAGTCCCACCGTCGGCGGTCGCGGGTTCGAATCCCAGCCAGGGCCGTGCTTTTGCGGCGCCTTTCTTTCGCCCAGTTCATCGGACTTTCTTTCGTGACAGTGAAATAAAACCTTTCAGACAGATTGCTTGATTACATGTGTGTGGAAATGAGAAATTTTTTATATGTCCAAAGAAGTGAGAAAGGTTCCAGGTTCAAGTCGGGACTTTCTGCTACGTCCTTGATCGGTTTGCTGCAACGTTGCTGCATAAATGAGACGCCAAAAATAATTGGTTGACAGTTTCAGTTTAAACTTGCATTTCAAAGTGCGAAAGTGTGGCGGCAGTTCCCTTTTTTGCCCCGAATGTGACATGAGTGAACTTTGTCCGCAGCGGCGACGCGAAGAATGCGAGCGCAAGGCGCGGCGCGGGGAGATGGACCCGCGCCTGGAGTTCACCTTCCAGCTGCTCATCGACGGCACCGGGCTGCCCCGCTCGGAGATCATGGACCACGTCTTCGACGGCAACATGGTGGGTGCCCTGCAGATTGCCATTGCTATAGCTATTGCTGCTGCCAGAGTCCTACTCCAGGCCCGTCCAGGCAGCCAAGGCCGTTTGGCCGGCCAGTGCGCACCGCCACCGTGCATGCCGTCGCGGCGCTCACGAACGGTCCCTCCTCATTCCAGCTGGACGAGATCAACCAGCTCTTCCTGCCGCACATGCGCAACAAGCTGCTGTGGTTCTACCAGGAAGTCGAGGACGGCGAAGGCGGCGGCGACGCGGTGAGTGTTTGGATTCTGAGCAGTGGCGGATCCAGAGGCGGCCTGGGAGGGGGTACTGTTTTGCCTGCCTTGGCTATCCAGGGGTCAAGGGCGCAACTGTCCTTTGGCCCCGCTCTGGATCTTGCTCTCGCGTGGGGTGGGTGTTGACGGTGTGCTGACGGCCACCCGCCGTGTCCGCAGAGCAAGCCCGGCGCGGCGCGAGGCCCGGGGGCGCCGGCGCCGGGGAAGCCCCCCGGAACCACCGCCGTGCACGCCAAGAAGAAGCTGTTCCTCACGGACGGCTGGCAGCTGCCGCTCACCGGCATCTGCATCTACATGTTCAGGCTCAACACCGGCAAGCAGCTGCCTGAGGAGGGCTTCCACAAGGTCAGCCAAATCACATTCAATTTTATTTACTTCGGCGAAAAACGTTCGGAGACATTGTTCAACGAACGTGACGTCATTTTCGTTGGAATGTGAATTCTGTCACACTCGTTTGTACGTGACACGGCCCTTTCATTGCGATGTTACGTTCGTTTGAACGCGAATCACCGACAAATGTGACATCAAACACAAACGAAGGTCCCAAAAGTCACAACCTAACGGACAGGACAGGTCGAACAACGAAAGCGGGTGTGCAGGACCTGTACTGCGGCGTGCTGGACGCGGAGCGGGTGGGCCTGGTCACCTCCGTGGAGCGCATCATGGAGCACGTGTTCATGGAGGCGCTGGCCCACCCGGCGGCCGACATCGAGGAGGACGACAGCAACTGCCCCATGGTGAAGAACCTGCTGCTGCCGGGGCTGCGGTCCTTCTGCAGCGCGCTGCGCGGTGAGTGGCGGGCCAGGAACGATGCTCTGCCGACTAGACGGGCGGTTGCGTGCTGCAAGATTGGCGCGGCCTCGACGGACGGCCCTCAATCGGCAGAGGATCATTCCGGGTCTAGTCTATCACGTTCCTGTTTGGGGAAAAGGGCAAAGTAGCACCTTCTGCCTACTTACAGGGGCAAAGTATGGCCTTTTGCCTATCTTCCAGGCGGTTATCTATCTAGGTGCCGCTGGAGAGGGGAAGGCAGGGAAACCTTCTTTTCCGTTTTTTGTTTGTTTTTAGCCGCGACTTTTATTTCCTACTTGTTGCGCAGTGTGCGAGGAGGTGTGCGACGAGCCCAACATCTTCGACGACGAGAAGACGCTGGTGGCCAACGTGCCCAGCATGGCGGAGGCCCAGGACATCGCCAGCAGGCCGGAGGACGTGGCCGTCCTGGAGGAGCGCGTCAAGGAGTGGATCAAGCGCGTGCAGGAGGTGCGGCGCTTGTTCGGCATCACTTTCCAGCAGCCTGGGGACGAACGCCCACACTGTCTTCCCGCCCTTCTGTCCGCAGCAAGTCCTGATGGAGAGCGAGCAGCTGCGACGGGAGAACGACTCCAGCGGGCCGCAGGACGAGCTGGAGTACTGGAAGAAGCGGGGCGCGCAGTTCTCGCAGATCGTGTCGCAGCTGCAGAGCCCGGAGGCAAGCAGCCTCGCCTTGAGCCTCGCGAACCGCAATCGGTACGCGCGTCGACCAGAGAATCGCAATGTGTCTCGTCTCCTTCTTGCAGGTCCAGATGACGCTGCAGTGCCTGCAGCTGTCCCGCTCCAAGCTGGTCAAGCTGTGGAAGGAGACGGACCGCAAGATCACCTTCTGCTACAACGAGGCGCGCGACAACGCCAAGTTCATCCAGGCCATGGAGAAGTGCTGCCACTCGCTGTACCTGCACGACCCCGTGCGCATGAAGGAGTCCATCCTCAGCCTGCTGCAGACCGTGCGGCTCATCCACAGCGTGTCGCAGTTCTACAACACCTCGGAGCGCACTTCGTCACTCATGGTCAAGGTGGGCAGCAGCAGAGAGCCTGGGCCGCAGGGTGAAAGGTGCCCGGTCCTGGAGGTGTATGCAAATCGTTCAGAATAGAATCTGGGCTGCTTCGATTCCATCCGAAAAAAACAAACCGAAAACGCGTGATATTTTTTCGGATCGAAATTCTTTGGGCCAAACCAACAAGAAGGTGCCCATTCCACCTGCTTTCGGGGAATTCGATTCGATTCAATACTTGATGATTCAATTCGATTCGATTCAATACTTGATGATTTAATTCGATTCAATTCGATAATTGATTCAAATCGTTTCGATTCAATGCAATTCGGTTATTCGACATCCGATTTGATTCGTTATTTGATTCGGTTCGATTCGATTTCATTCAATGCGTCGTGCCCGTCCACGAATGTTTTGCACAGGCTAATGCCCCTCCGAATCACTGTCTCGCAGATCACGAACCAGATGATCGAGACGTGCAAGCAGTACGTGACGTGCCGCGGCCAGGAGTCCATCTGGTCGCAGGACCGCAAGGAGGTCCGCGAGAAGCTGCAGCAGTGCATCCAGCTGAACCGCACCTACCGCAAGACGTACCAGATCGTCAAGAGCCAGCCCTTCCTGCCCAACCAGACCTCCTTCAACTTCTCCGAGAACTACGTCTTCGGCAAGTTCGACACGTTCTGCGACCGCCTGGGCAAGATCATCTGCATGTTCGACCTGGTCGACGACTACAACAGCCTCTTCGAGCGGCGGATGGAAGGTGCGCTGCAGTCGATTATAGCCATGACTTGAGCTAGGCGAAAGAAGACGTAATTGGAATTTTTGAGTTTATTGACATTGTCCTAATTATGCTTTCAGGGTTGCTGCTCGGTGAAGGTAAGTATGAGGAGGCAAACTGCGACACTTAGTTTAAAAATTGGACGCGATCTTCCCTTGACCGCGAACGGCATCCCCTTCGCAGCCCTGGACGACGCCATGAAGACATTCAACGAGGCCAAGGCGGGCGTGACGGGCAAGCAGTACGACTACCTGGACCAGAGGAACTCGGAGTTCGACGACGACTTCCAGCACTTCCTGACCAAGGCCAACGACCTCAAGAGCAACATCGCCACCATCATCGAGCTCAACTTCGCCAGCGTGTGGGAGACGCCGCAGGGCATCCGCTTCCTCGTCCGCTTCGAGAAGGTGAGCGTCCTCAAGTACGCCAATGCTGCCCCAAGTTACCCCGAGTCTTACGCTCCGCCGTGTCCCCTGCACAGGTGAGCACGAAGATCCCGCTGGCGCGGATGGACGAGAAGTACTCACGGGTGCTGCAGTACTGCGAGAAGGAGGTGGAGCACATCCTGCGCCTGTTCCGCCGCCAGAAGGACGACCCGCCGCTGCCCAGGAACTTCCCTCCGATTGCCGGTAAGCCTCGGCGACCCATAGTTGCAACAGGTACTTTTGAGAACAAACAAAAACAACAAAAAACAACAACAAAAACTACAACAAAAAACATCAAAAACAGGGTTTCGAACCATAGACCTCAGGATCACAGGGCGGCGTCTCTACGGCTTCGGCCACTGCAACATTCTGGCTGCGTTCTGTTCGGCAGGCCGCATCAAGTGGGCGCGCTCGCTCAACAGCCACCTGGAGGAGCTGGTGCAGGGCGTGTCGCAGCACCCCGTGCTCAAGACGCTGCACGCCACGGCGGAGCTGGTGCGCAAGTACAACCACGTGTCCAACACGCTGCACAACTACGAGACCGAGATGATCAACGCCTGGCTCAACCACAACGTGAGTACGCCAGAAGTTTCATCGCGTTCCCCACCTGGGATTCCCAGGAGCACCCAAGGGCCACCTCGGCCCCCAGGTACTGCTTTTGACGTGTGTCGCGCGCGGCGTCACAGCGGAGGTGAACTGAAAATGAACTGTGTATCAAGGCTTCCAAATGCATGGGGAAGGTACGCAATGACATTGACGGGCAACCTAACCTAATCCACGTGGACGTAGGTGTGGGTGACGGACGAGTGCCTGACGCGGCACCTGCTGTCGCTGGAGGCGGACCAGAGCGGCCGCCTCACCGTCAACCTGGACCAGCGCATCCCGCTGCTGATCCGTGAGGCCGCCTGCCTGGCCAAGCTGGGCATCGCCATGCCCGTCGTCACCAGCGCGCTGCTGTTCAAGCGCAAGTACTTCACGCTGGTCAAGGACTCGCTGCAGGTGAGGCGCCACAGCCACGGCCTTGATGGTCCAAGGGCCGATCCAGCATGCCGCAAAAGTTGCCAATGGTCGTCCTGACCCTCGTCTTCCCCGCAGTTCCTGGTGCAGCAGTTCCTCCGCACGGTGCAGCGCGTCAAGCTGGAGGTGCGGCCGCTGTTCCTGCCGCAGCTCGTGCGCCTCGTGGCCATGCTGAACCCCGCGCTGCAGACGCTCACGTGGACGGACACGTCCTGGGAGAGCTTCTGCCAGAGCACGGCCGGCGCCATCCACAAGTTCGACGTGCTGGTGACGCGCGTGCACGACGTGTACTCCAACCGCATCCTGCAGGTGCTCACGTCCATGCAGAAGGTGACACTGCAGGCGCTGCCCGACGCCGACCCCTGGAGCGTCGAGGAGTTCCTGGAGAAGACCGAGGACACGTGCAGGCAGGCCGCCGCGGTGAGTGCTGCAGCCGCGCACAGCCGCGGCAGACTGACTGCGAGAGTCGTTTTCGTCGCTCTGTCTCTCTCGCACTGACACCGGACTTCCTATTGGTGCGAGAGAGACAGAGCGACGAAACGACTCTCGGAATCAGTCTGCAGCGCACATGCCGACGCGTTTCTGCGCCGAGAGGAAGCCGAGGGCGGGTGGTTGCGCCCTCCCCTCCCCCCGGAACTATGAGGGGGGGGGGGGAGGGGGAGCAGACGCCCGCCCCGGGCAAAGGGTTCAAGCCTCGCGGCGCGCATCCCCGTGCGCCCCGCCGCGCCGCGCCGCGCTGCACCACACCATGCACCCGATATTTATTACAGGAACTGCATCGTAAAAGCTTGATGGTGGAGGAGGCCGTGGAGGAGGTCCTGGAGCTGGTGCGCAAGGCGGCGCGCGAGTTCCGCACGGACAACGACGAGTTCGAGTTCATGATGGAGGGTACGTGAGCGGAACGCAAGGCGTGTCAACCGAAAGTAGCCGGTTTTGCACCCATCGACCCGGAGCTAGGTCACTCACAAGGTCATGGAGTCATTCATTGACAAGGTCGTGGAGCCATTCATTGATTAGGTCATTGGAGTCATTCATTGACAAGGTCATGGAGTCTGGCAAGGTCATTGATTCATTCATTGACAATGTCATTGGTTCTTTCATTGACGAGGTGATTGATATTCATAAACACCGTCATTGATTCATTCATCAACACCGTCATTGATTCATTCATGAACGCCGGCATTGATTCATTTTTTGACAAGGTCATGGAGTCAGCGCCAAGGTCACCGAATGAAAATATGACGTGTTTGGCCGCAGAGCCCGCCAACACGGGGCCCATCAACCCGTCGCCGGCGGCGCTGCAGCAACAGCAGCAGCAGGACTGGAGCGTGGTGTGGCAGTGCTTCGACGAGCCGCACACCCTGCTCGCCATCAACGGCGGCCTGCCCAAGGGCATGCAGGACATGGTGCGCAACGCGGTGGCCGAGATGCGGCGCTACTACAGCCGCAAGGTGGTGGACGTGCTCATCCGGGTCACCCGCCAGTCCGTGGACGCCATGCGGAAGCGGTTCAGCACCGAGAAAGGTAACCCTGTTGTTTATTTTTCTGTTGTTTTGTTTGTTATTGTTAGCCGTTGTTTTGTTTGTTGTGGTTGGTTGGATTTGTTTTGTTTGTTGTTGTTGTATTGCCTGTTGTTGTTTTGTTTGTTGTTGTATTACCTGCAGTTGTTTTGTTTGTTGTGGTTGGTTGTTTTAGTTTTGTTTGTTGTTGTATTGCCTGTCGTTGTTTTCTGTTGTTTTGGTTGTTGTATTGCTTGTTGTTGTTGTTGTTTGCTGTTTTGGTTGTTGTTGTTTGAGGACGCGTACATTTTGATGTGCTGCAGGCATGACGGTGCGGCCCGTGTTCCTGCTGCACGCCACCCTCATGATCCCCAAGGTGACCATCAAGCCCAGCATCGAGGACGTGCAGGAGGCGCTGGTGTCGGCGGGGAAGTACATGACCAACGTGTCCAAGGGCGTGGGCCAGTGGACGGGCGGCAAGGAGAAGCAGGTGGGCCGCACCGCGCTAAAGGGGCTTGCAATCAATTTTTTTCCAATTTTCTCCCCACATCTTTTTTGGACCCCCCGGTCGATTTCCGACAGTTTTTCTCTTCTATTTACTCTCTTTTTATTCTCACCTTCGCCTTGTCCATTGCAGCTTGCATTCCTCTTGACTCGGTCCGTTGTCGCTCGGAGCGTATTGTACATAAGTCTGTTGACAGCTTTTATACTTTTGGACGCCACTCCGATGCTTCCGAGGAGGCTTCGACGGTGAGGCCTCGGCCTAGGGCGGATCCAGAGACAGGTTCAGGGGGGGGGGGGATTTACGGACGGCCTGTCCACGCTCTGCAGTGCAAGCTTAGCAGTGCCCGGCCCGAAATGGCAGACAAATTGTAGTCGAGCCTCTCAAGTTCCAGCTCAAGATGTCACAAGAGTGTCCTACCCACAGGAGCAAAGTGCGCTGGTTTGCCTAGCTCAGGCAGGCTCTAGCCCCTGGATCCGCGCCTGGGCTGACCGGCGTGCCTCGCTCGCCTCGTACCGTTTGCAGGGCAGGCTCTCGTCCACGACCCGCCTCTATATCCAGATGGGCGACCCGTCGGCCAGCAAGGGCTTCCCCGCGGGCTACCATGCCTTTCGCAGCGCCATGGCCTCGGCCGGCGGCCGCCAACGCCCCCGGGGCCGGCCATGTTCGTACCCATACCGACCAACAACTAGGCTAGCTTGTCGGCACCCAGAACCGCCTGCGCTACCTAAAGCCCTCAGCGTTCACCCCCAGGACGGCGGCGAACCACTTTCCGGGTGTCAGAAAAAAACAACTGAGAAGTTGAACCCTTGCGGTGACACTGAGGTTAAACAAAACGGAATAATGCGGCATGGAACCCGACGCAAACGCCACCCCTTCCTGCCAAGCGGCGCCAAGGCCATGTAGTGCCCCGCGGGTACTTCCTTTGCGGACCGTACCGTTGCCAGGACGGCGCACCACTCTAACCAGAGGACGGCCGAGGATGACAGACCAGGACCTGCCAGGACCTTCTGATAAATAAAGAGTAACGATAGTAAACGTAGAGCTGCCTTTCTTGTCTGACATATTGCTCCCCGTTCTCCTCTCCCCTCTCCCTCCCTCCCTTCCTCGATCCCTCCCTCCGCCCGCCCCTCTTTGTCCCGCTTGCCTTTTCCGTGCTCGTTTCGTGTCGCTTTTGTGTTTGTCTGTTTGCTTTTTGCCTGTTTGCCTGTTGCATTTTGCCTGTTTCCCTGCATGCCCTTTTGCTTGCCCACCCTGCCTGGGCTTGAACCCGCGGCCCCCGCATGCGGCATGCCGCCCTGTGATGTGTCGCTTACTGTGATGTTGTCGTCCCTGTGTCTGTGTCGTCGTCGTGCGCCCGTCCGCCTCCGCCTGTGTGTGCCTGACCTCCACCATACGACCTCGACCGAACGCCACCACTCCACCATTCGAACTCCACCCGCCATTCGACCTTCATCCGCCATTCGACCTCCTACCGCCATTCGACCTTCATCCGCTTTTCGACCTCCTACCGCCATTCGACCTTCATCCGCCATTCGACCTCCATCCGCCATTCGACCTCCATCTGCCATTTGACCTCCATCCGCCATTCGACCTCCACCCGCCATTCGACCTCCATCCGCCATTTGACCTCCATCCGCCATTCGACCTCCATCTGCCATTTGACCTCCATCCGCCATTTGACCTCCATCCGCCATGCGACCTCCATGACACGACCCCCACCCCACGACCTCCATCCACCACACGACCTCCACCACGCCCCTCACCGCCTCCACCCCGCCGTCGTCGTGGCGCCCCGCTTGCCGCCCCTCCCCTCCCCCCGCCCCTTTCCCTTGCCGTACGCAGCGCACGGGGTGGCGGAGGCTGGCGGCGTGCCAGACCAAGATCGCGGCTGACGTGGTGTCGCGCCTGGAGCAGGGCGCCGCGGCCGCCGCCGACAAGGACGAGGACCCCAAGGTGCGGCGCCGGCGCCTGTACCGCCTCGCCTCCGAGGAGCGGCCTAAGTTCCCGCAGATGCCGCGCAACTTCTACTCGCACGTCATGGAGAACAAGGAGGTCGTCAAGACGCTGTCCCTGCTGTCCACCTGCACGCAAGAGATCCGCGTGGTGAGTGAACCGGACCGCGCGCTCGCTGTGTCTCTGTCGCACTCATGGAGCACTCCATACTGCGCCATGGTGCGAGAGAGACAGAGCGACGAACCGTTCTTCTGAATCGCTCGACGGGTTCTCTTCGACAATGCAAAGGGTTTATCGCCAAATTTCTCTGGTATTATCGGGGAAGGGGGGAGGGGGGTAGCGTCTTTATCCGCGCACCTGAAAGGACCCGGTCTGACTGGATTTGCAGGAGCTCAAGGGCTTCATCGACCACTGGGCGCCCTACAAGTTCCTGTGGCGGGGCGCGCAGAACCGCAAGGACATGCTAAAGCTGGGCCTCACCGACCTGGAGGGCATGCTGCGGCGCCACGGCGAGCTGGAGGCGGACCTCGCCACCGAGCCCGACATGTACTACTTCAGCTGCCTTGCCATTTCCACCGGTAAGGACCGCCCAAACGTCCTGGAACACCGCGACACTGCAGCACTCCATTATCGCACAGTGGCCCAGAAGACTGGCGAAGGCGACTAAAATCGGAGACACGTTTTGAGCTCCAGAGTCGCTGAACAGGACTCGAACCTAACGTGTGACCCCACCAATGGATTTCTCGTTCGTAGAGCACACCATTGGTAGGGGTCACACGTTCGGTTCGAGTCCCATGCAGCGACTCTAAAGCTGAAAGCCCGTCGAGAATTCTGGCCGCCTCCATCGCTTCGCCAACGTATCTCTTTCCATTCCCCAGAGCGGCTCAAGTTCGGCCTGCTGACCGAGGTCAAGTCGTGCACGTACCGCATCGGGCAGGTGCTCAAGAAGAAGTACCACCGCGAGATGGACTACGTGTACGCCGTCATGAACGAGATGGAGCGCAAGCTGGAGCGCCAGATCCGCGACCTGGACGACGTGCGCCTCGTCATGGAGACCCTCAAGAAGATCCGCGACCAGGAGGTGGACATGGAGCTGCGCATCGACCCCATCGAGGAGGCCTTCAACGTCATCACGAGGTAGATGGTGGTGATGATGCACTGGTGGTGCACTGGTGGTGGTGCACTGGTGGTGGTGCACTCTGGTGGTGGTGCACTCTGGTGGTGCACACTGTATAACCCTTCTGGATTCGGCCGCGCTTGACGCCATGCTCGCTGCTGCAGGTACGACCTGCCGGTGGACCGCGAGGACCTGGAGCAGGTGGACAGCCTCCGCTACACGTGGCAGCGGCTGCAGGGTCGCGCGCTCGACGTGACGGTCACGCTGCTCAACATGCAGCCCGCCTTCCAGGACGACCTGCGCCGCAACCTGGAGCGCTTCCGGCAGGACAACGTGGACTACTGCCACGAGTACCGCACCTCGGGGCCCATGATGCCCGGCCTCACGCCCCGCGAGGCCTCGGACCGACTCATCCTGTTCCAGGTGCGTCCATGCTCTGAAGAAAGCAAGCTGAGCAAAGCTTAGGGGCAAGGGGAAAACGAGGGTGCAAAGTATGGCTTTTGCCTACCTCTCAGGCGGTTGTCTATGTGCCATTGCACGCCACTTCCTGTATCCGCGCCCGCGCACAGTGGGCCATAGGAGACTGGTGGAGACTTGGTGCCGCGCCTGACTCTGAGTGCTTGCCTCCCCGCAGAACCGCTTCGACGGCATGTGGCGCAAGCTGCAGGCGTACCAGAGCGGCGAGGAGCTGTTCGGCCTCGCCATCACGGACTACCCCGAGCTGGCGCAGATCCGCAAGGAGCTGAACCTGCTGCAGAAGCTGTACAAGCTGTACAACGACGTGATCGACCGCGTGTCCTCGTACTACGACATCCCCTGGGGCGAGGTCAACATCGAGGAGATCAACAACGAGCTCATGGAGTTCCAGAACCGGTGCCGGAAGCTGCCCAAGGGGCTCAAGGAGTGGCCCGCCTTCCACGCGCTCAAGCGCACCATCGACGACTTCAACGACATGTGCCCGCTCCTGGAGCTCATGGCCAACAAGGCCATGAAGCCGCGCCACTGGCAGCGCATCATGGAGGTCACCAGCTACACCTTCGAGCTGGAGAACGAGGGCTTCTGCCTCAAGGACATCCTGGAGGCGCCGCTGCTCAAGTACAAGGAGGACATCGAGGTCAGGGTCAACCCGTAGATACTCTGCAAACTGTACAGAGTGCTCAGTACACTCTATTTGGAGTGTACTCATGAGCACACTCCTGTGAGAGTGTGCTCAGCTGAGTACACTCTAACGAGAGAGTGCTTAGCTGAGTACACTCTAACGAAAGTGTGCTTAGCTGAGTACACTCTAACGAGAGTGTGCTTAAGTCTGCACAATTCATGCAGCTGAGTACACGTTCGTGGGAGTGTACTCGTGAGTACACGCTGAAGAGAGTGTACTCATGAGTACACGCTAAAGATAGTGTACTCATGAGTACACTCTAAAGAGAGTGTACTGAGTACACTTTTGAGTTTGCAGAGTACTGCGAGGAGCGCCTCACTTCCAGTGGGTGGCTGGGTGAATTTACCACGTGTTTTGCTGGCTTTTTATGTGACTAGGCTGTGTCTAGGCCAGTGGTTCTCAACCTTAGGGTCGCGACCCCAAGCGGGGTCGCGAAATTTTTTTAAGGGGTCGCGGCGATGCTGGGGTCGTGTTTTAGGCTGATTTTAAGCAGCCACTGCGTCTGATCCGAGGCGGGCATTTTGCTCCCTCAACGGGCAGTTGGTCTTTGGACCTTCCTTTAGCATGCCTTTGTTACGGAGTGCAATTATCAGTCTTAGTTTGGGAGCAGTATTGTCTCAAAGTTGGCCGAAACGCTCAGAAATGTCTATGAAAAATCGTGTTTTGGGCCGATTTTAAGCAGCCACTGCGTCTGATCCGAGGCGGGCATTTTGCTCCCTCAACGGGCAGTTGGTCTTTGGACCTTCCTTTAGCATGCCTTTGTTACGGAGTGCAATTATCAGTCTTAGTTTGGGAGCAGTACTGTCTCAAAGTTGGCCGAAACGCTCAGAAATGTCTATGAAAAATCGTGTTTTGGGCCGATTTTAAGCAGCCACTGCGTCTGATCCAAGGCGGGCATTTTGCTCCCTCAACGGGCAGTTGGTCTTTGGACCTTCCTTTAGCATGCCTTTGTTACGGAGTGCGATTATCAGTCTTAGTTTGGGAGCAGTATTGTCTCAAAGTTGACCAAAATAGTCACAACGGTGTTTCAAAGACACTTGCGACCGTTTTGATCGACTTTGAGACAATACTGCTCCCAAACTAAGACTGATAATCGCACTCCGTAACAAAGGCATGCTAAAGGAAGGTCCAAAGACCAATTGTCCATTGAGGGAGCAAAATGCCCGCCTTGGATCAGACGCTGTGGCTGCTTAAAATCGGCCCAAAACACGATTTTTCATGGACATTTCTGAGCGTTTCGGCCAACTTTGAGACAATACTGCTCCCAAACTAAGACTGATAATTGCACTCCGTAAGAAAGGCATGCTAAAGGAAGGTCCAAAGACCAACTGCCCGTTGAGGGAGCAAAATGCCCGCCTCGGATCAGACGCAGTGGCTGCTTAAAATCGGCCCAAAACACGATTTTTCAAAGACACTGCTGACCGTTTCGGCCAACTTTGAGACAATACTGCTCCCTAACTAAGACTGATAATTGCACTCCGTAACAAAGGCATGCTATAGGAAGGTCCAAAGACCAGTTGCCCGTTGAGGGAGCAAAATGCCCGCCTCGGATCAGACGCCGTGGCATGTTAAAGGAGGGGTCCCGTGGGGTCGCGAAATTTTTCCTGGGGGTCGCGGAAATTTTTGGCTTTAAATTTGGGGTCGCGAGCCGAGAAAGGTTAAGAACCGCTGGTCTAGGCAGTTACTGGACTGGAGTTAGGGCAGTACACTGGCTGGACGAAGTGAGGCGCCCCTCGAGACCAAACGTAATATCGCTTTAAAACGAACGTGACAACATTCCGATTGTAACGATTATGACATCACACTCGTTGACCAAACAATGCGTTCCGCGTCTCTGAACGACCGCTCGGCCGTTTCCGCTTCCAGGACATCTGCATCTCGGCGATGAAGGAGAAGGACATCGAGGCCAAGCTGCGGCAGGTGACCAACGAGTGGTCCGTGCACGAGCTCACCTTCATGACGTTCAACAACCGCGGCGAGCTGCTGCTGCGGGGTGACACCACGGCCGAGACCATCGGCCAGCTCGAGGACAGCCTCATGGTGCTGGGCTCGCTGCTGTCCAACAGGTGCGTCAGGGGTGGATCCAGAGCCGGCCTCAGGGGGTAAAGTACCGCCACTGGGGGCACGACGCACCCCTAACTCTGGCCGCGCTTTGCAGATACAACGCGCCCTTCCGCAAGCAGATCCAGCAGTGGGTCTTCGACCTGTCCAACACGAACGAGATCCTGGAGCGGTGGCTGCTGGTGCAGAACATGTGGGTGTACCTGGAGGCCGTGTTCGTGGGCGGCGACATCGCCAAGCAGCTGCCCAAGGAGGCCAAGCGCTTCAGCAAGATCGACAAGTCGTGGCAGAAGATCATGCAACGCGCGCACGAGACGCCCGGCGTGGTGTCGTGCTGCGTGGGCGATGACATGCTGAAGCAGCTGCTGCCGCACCTGCAGGAGCAGCTCGAGCTGTGCCAGAAGTCGCTGAGCGGCTACCTGGAGAAGAAGCGCATGATGTTCCCGCGCTTCTTCTTCGTCTCGGACCCCGCGCTGCTGGAGATCCTGGGCCAGGCCTCGGACTCGCACACCATCCAGAACCACCTGTTGTCCATCTTCGACAACACGCGCTTCGTCAAGTTCCACGACATCGAGTACAACAAGATGACGGCCGTCATCTCGTCCGAGGGCGAGTGCATCCAGCTGGAGCGCGCCGTGCGCGCCGAGGGCAGCGTGGAGACGTGGCTCACGTGCCTGCTGCAGACCAGCCAGCTGTCCCTGCACTCCATCATCCGCCTCGCCTTCACCATGGTCAACGACCCCAACTTCAACCTGCTGGGCTTCCTGGACAAGATGCCGGCGCAGGTAGGATACGCACTTGCAAGATCTTACTGAGCTTGTTCGTCACTGCACTAACACCTCGCCGTCGTCGCAGGTCGGCATCCTGGGCATCCAGATGATCTGGACGCGCGAGGCGGAGCTGGCGCTGATGCAGGCGCGGCAGGACAAGAAGGTCATGGCGGACACCAACAACCGCTTCCTGGAGCTGCTCAACACCCTCATCGACCAGACGACGCGTGACCTGACGCGCATCGAGCGCACCAAGTTCGAGACCCTCATCACCATCCACGTGCACCAGAGGGACATCTTCGACATCCTGGTGAGTCGCCTTCCGACAGGGAGCGATCGATCGATCCGTTTGGCTGGTCTTCCCTTAAATGGCCCCTGCCCCCGCCCCGCAGTGCCGCATGAACGTGCGTCACGCCAACGACTTCGAGTGGCTGAAGCAGTGCCGCTTCTACTTCAAGGAGGACCTCGACAAGACGCTCATCGCCATCACGGACGTGACCTTCAGCTACCAGAACGAGTACCTGGGCTGCACGGAGAGGCTCGTCATTACGCCACTCACCGACAGGTACGCCGAGGGCTCGGCGAAAGTCCGACTTGCGATGTCGAGTATTGTTCGGGTATTCTCCGGGTATTCTTCGATTTACTCGGAACGTATCGAAGAATATCGAGTCATATCGAAGAATGTTGTTGGATGTGTTTTTGAGGAAGTCGAGATCGATAATTGTCGCTATAGATCGACATATCGATGTATCGACCGCGGTAGGCAAATACTTCTTCTTTTCTCCTGTAAGTCGGCAAGAGGCAATCGGTGCCTGTCCTGTCGCAGGTGCTACATCACGCTGGCGCAGGCGCTGGCCATGAGCATGGGCGGCGCGCCGTGCGGCCCGGCCGGCACGGGCAAGACGGAGACGGTCAAGGACATGGGCAAGACGCTGGCCAAGTACGTGGTGGTGTTCAACTGCTCGGACCAGATGGACTACCGCGGCCTGGGCCGCATCTACAAGGGGCTGGCGCAGTCCGGGTCCTGGGGCTGCTTCGACGAGTTCAACCGCATCGAGCTGCCCGTGCTGTCCGTGGCCGCGCAGCAGGTGGCCGTCGTGCTCGCCTCCAAGAAGGAGAAGAAGAAGTCGTTCGTCTTCACCGACGGCGACCTCATCGACCTCAACCCCGAGTTCGGCATCTTCATCACCATGGTGGGGGCAGCGCGGTCACATTGTGGCACACTGTGCGCTGACTCTGCGTGAAATTCAACTCTCTCTCTCTCGCCGTAGAACCCCGGGTACGCGGGGCGCAAGGAGCTGCCCGAGAACCTCAAGATCCAGTTCCGCACGGTGGCCATGATGGTGCCGGACCGGCAGATCATCATCCGCGTCAAGCTGGCGTCGTGCGGCTTCCTGGAGAACATCACGCTGGCGCGCAAGTTCTACACGCTGTACAAGCTGTGCGAGGAGCAGCTCACCAAGCAGGTGCACTACGACTTCGGGCTGCGCAACATCCTGTCCGTGCTGCGCACGCTGGGCGCCGCCAAGCGCGTCAACAGCAAGGACACGGAGAGCACCATCGTGATGCGCGTGCTGCGCGACATGAACCTCTCCAAGCTCATCGGTGCGTCGCGTCCGAGGGTCACCGACGACACTCCGACCTAACTGGAAGGACCCTGCCGCCTCACAGTGGGCCAGAGGACCGGTGGAGGCGGCCAAAATTCTGGACGCGTTTTGAGCTCCAGAAGTCGCTAAATGGGACTCGAAACGAACGCGTGGCACCTCCAATAGATTCCTCGTTCAGAGAGCAATTCATTGGTGGGGTCACATGTTCGGTTCGAGTCCCGTTTAGCGACTCTGGAGCTCAAAACGCGTCTGGAATTATGGCCGCCTCCACCGGTCTTCTGGCCCACAGTGCGCCTTGGCCACCATTGCCGTGGCCCTCGACCGCGAGAACCCGGAGCTCTCTCCAGTTCGGTCGGAGTGTACATTGGACTTCTCCGTGGAAATGCGACTGACACTCTTTCCGCCCGCAGACGAGGACGAGCCGCTCTTCATGTCGCTGGTGGCGGACTTGTTCCCGAACCAGGCGCTGGAGAAGACGGCCTACCAGGACCTGGAGGAGGCCATCGAGGACCAGGTGAACCAGATGGGGCTCATCTACCACCCGCCCTGGGTGCTCAAGCTGATCCAGCTGTACGAGACGCAGCGCGTGCGCCACGGCATCATGACGCTGGGCCCGCCCGGCGCCGGCAAGAGCACCTGCATCCACACGCTCATGAGGGCGCTGAGCGCGCTGGGCGAGGCGCACCGCGAGATGCGCATGAACCCCAAGGCCATCACGGCGGCGCAGATGTTCGGCCGCCTCGACGTCGCCACCAACGACTGGACGGACGGCATCTTCTCGGCGCTCTGGAGGAAGACGCTCAAGTGCAAGAAGGGTGAGTTGTGTTGTCAGGGCAAAATAGGCATTTTCATCACTTTCAAATAATGATAATTTCGTCACAAATTTGGTGACCATTTCATTACAAGTTGACAATTTCATCGCAAGCTGACAATTTGATCACAAGTTGACAATTTCACTACAATTAATGATGTTTTCGTCACAAATAGATGACATTTTCGCCGGAGCTCTGCACAAGAGTATGGCAACTACTCATAAATTTTGTTTTAATAAAATTATTGGAAGGAAAATTCGCATTAAAACTTTCGCCAAGTGTGAACTTAAATTTTTCCCAGTGTACCAGCTTTACTGTGGGCGTGTGGGAGACGTCCGTATACAACGTGACGCTTTTCCGGTGCAGGCGACCACGTGTGGATGGTGCTGGACGGTCCGGTGGACAGCATCTGGATCGAGAACCTCAACTCGGTGCTGGACGACAACAAGACGCTGACGCTGGCCAACGGCGACCGGCTGTCCATGGCGCCGACCTGCAAGATCATCTTCGAGCCGCACAACATCGACAACGCCTCCCCCGCCACCGTGTCGCGCAACGGCATGGTGTACATGAGCTCCTCGGGGCTGGACTGGAAGCCCGTGGCCGAGGCGTGGCTGCGCAAGCGGAGCACGCGCGAGAACGAGGTGTTCATGAACCTGTTCCACGTGTCCTTCGAGGAGCTGTACACGTGGGGCACGCAGAACGTGGTGTTCACCATGAAGGTGCTGCAGTGCAACGTGGTGCTCCAGGTACGACTTTTACCAATTTTTGGGTTGCTTTGTGCTGTGCCCCGAATCCCGATGATTTTTGGAGGCCTAAGTCGGGTCATAGGTTTTGGTAGTGCACACGGCTAAAACAACGTCCGGGTTTCCCAGCCGCACCCTGGGAAAAATGCCCTGTTTTTCCAGGGTGCGCCTGGGAAACCCGGACGTTGTTTTTGCCGTGTACGCCCTCTGCACGCGTGAACCAGCCAGCAGCTAACCGCCCCTCCCCGCTCGGCGCCGCTCCGGGCCGCTCGGCTTGCAGATGCTGACCATCCTGCAGGGGCTGGTGCCGCCGCAGTACGAGGAGACGGAGGAGGGCGCCGCCGAGCCCGAGGAGCAGGCCGAGCTGGAGGAGGACCGCGAGCCGCTGCTGGAGGAGGCCCCCGAGGACGTGGACCGCGACGACCCCATGCGCCACCTGTCCGCCGAGCACCTCGCGCGACTCTACGTGTTCGCGCTCGCCTGGGGCATGGGCGCGCTGCTGGAGCTGGCCGACCGCAAGAAGTTCGACCAGTACGTCCGGGACAAGTTCAAGGACCTGGACATGCCGTACTCGCGCCACCACCAGGACGCCACCGTCTTCGACTACGTCGTCAGCCCGTCAGGTGAGGCACGTCTTTTACTAAGCGCCCAAAGCGAGCTACTCCAGGATCCACGTCTCGCTGTAAAATTTTCCCCGGTTTTGGTACAAATTAAATAGGAAACTCTGTGTTTTATCGAAAGAAAACAAAATTCTACAGGGAACTAGGTACAAGTGTCACTGATTTTCCACCAAAGAACGTTCGAAAACAGTGTTTATCGGAGTGGTGAACTCGGATGAACTAAGGAAAGTTGTTTTTACAGTGCGGTAAGAGTTGAGCCATGGTCTTTTACGGTTCCGCAGGCAAGTGGGAGCACTGGAGCACCATGGTGCCCACCTACTCGTACCCGGAGATGAGCACGCCCGACTTTGGCAGCATCATGGTGCCCATCGTGGACAACGTGCGCATCAACTACCTGATCGGCTGCATCGCGCGCCAGGAGCGCGCCGTACTGCTCATCGGCGAGCAGGGCTCCGCCAAGACCGTCATGATGAAGAGCTACATGAAGAGCGCCAACCCCGAGGCCTACCTCAACCGCAGCTTCAACTTCTCGTCCGCCACCAGTCCCTACCAGTTCCAGGTGCGTCACGAGTCGGCAACCTAGTGGCAGCACAGTCCAAAGCCGGCCTGGAGAAAGAGAGGGAGCACTTTCTGCCTATGTACAGGGCAAAGTGCTGCCTTTTGCCTGCCTTTCAGGCGGCTATCCAGGAGTTGGGAGAAGCAAGGGGAGATAACTCCAGCCAAATTTAAGCACAAAATTTCATTAAAAAAATTAAAATTTGATCAAATTAATCGAATTTCTTCTCAAAATTCAGTAGTTTTTGCCGGAAATTCGTCAAAATAGAATTGAAATTCATTTGATTTGCACACCGGAAGGGGAAGTGGACATTCCGCCCTTTGCCCCCTCCCCCTGGAACTTCCTCGTGACTCGTCTTGACTTTCCCAGAAAACGATCGAGAGCTACGTGGAGAAGCGCATGGGCAGCACGTTCGGGCCGGCGGGCGGCAAGAAGATGGTCGTGTTCGTGGACGACGTGAACCTGCCGCAGATCAACGAGTGGGGCGACCAGGTGACCAACGAGATCGTGCGCCAGACCATGGACATGAAGGGCTTCTACAGCCTGGAGAAGCCCGGCGAGTTCACCACCATCGTGGACATGCAGTTCGTGGCCGCCATGGGGCAACCGGGCGGCGGCCGCAACGACATCCCGTCGCGCCTCAAGCGCCAGTTCAGCGTCTTCAACTGCCCGCTGCCCTCCAACGACTCCATCGACAAGATCTTCCGCGTGGTCGGCGAGGGCCACTACAACACCAAGCGCGGATTCAGGCAAGACCACTGGTAGTTGGAAGCAAAAGTACGCGTAAAAAGTCCACGAAACATCGCTTTAAAAAATTTGCGCCCAATTCTTTGTAACGTAGCTCAATGCAAGACACGCAGAGTGTGGTCGAGTCACGTGACGCGTGTTCGTCCCTTTGCAGCGCGGACGTGCGCAACCTGGTGAAGAAGCTGATCCCGCTGACGAGGCTGCTGTGGCACTCGACGCGCGCCAAGCTGCTGCCCACGCCCGCCAAGTTCCACTACGTGTTCTCGCTGCGCGACCTGTCGCGCATCTGGCAGGGCATGGTGGGCACACTGTCCACCGTCATCGACTCGGAGAACGTGCTGCTCATCCTGTGGAAGCACGAGGTGACGCGCGTCTTCTCGGACCGCTTCACGCTCACCGCCGACAAGGAGTGGTTCGACTCGGAGCTCATGGCCAAGGTGCGCGGTCGCGTCAGTGGCGGACCCACAGTGGATTTGCCAGAAGACCGGTGGAGGCGGCCAATATTCCAAACGCGTTTTGAGATCCAGAGTAGCTAAACAGGATTAGAACCGAACGTGTGACCCCACCAATGGATTCCTTGTTCGGAGAGCAATCAATAGGTGGGGTCACACGTTCGGTTCGAGTGCCATTTAGTGACTCTGGAGCTCAAAACGCGTCTAGAATTTTGGCCGCATGCACCGGCCCTGTGGCCCACAGTGTAGGGGCGGCCTTTATGGGGGGTGGGGGCGGATACCGTTTTCCGGCGTGACTTTCACGTCGAACCTGTTTTTGTCTCTGTGTCCTACCATGGCGAGACCTACCTCAACCACTTTGCGTGCAGGTGGAGGAGGTGCTGGGCCCCAACTACGTGGAGCTGGCGCAGCCCAACCCCGTGTTCGTGGACTTCATGCGCGACGCGCCCGAGCCGACGGGCGAGGAGGGCGAGGACGCGGACATGGAGCTGCCCAAGGTGTACGAGCCGGTGGCCGACTTCCGCGAGCTGCACGAGCGCCTCGACATGTTCCTGGCGCAGTTCAACGAGATGGTGCGCGGCGCGGGCATGGACCTGGTGTTCTTCCCGGACGCCATGCTGCACCTGGTCAAGATATCGCGGGTCATCCGGCACCCGCGCGGCAACGTGATGCTGGTGGGCGTGGGCGGCTCCGGCAAGCAGTCCCTCACCAAGCTGGCCTCGTTCATCGCGGGCTACAAGACGTTCCAGATCACGCTCACGCGCTCCTACAACGTGGCCAACTTCCTGGAGGACCTGAAGCTGCTGTACCGGTCGTGCGGCGTGCAGGGCAAGGGCACCACCTTCATCTTCACCGACCTGGACATCAAGGAGGAGGGCTTCCTGGAGTACCTCAACAACATCCTGTCGTCGGGCGTCATCTCCAACCTGTTCACGCGCGACGAGCAGGCCGAGATCATCTCCGAGCTCACGCCCGCGCTCAAGCGCGAGAACCCCAAGCGCACGCTCACGCAGGCAAGGGAAAACTCATTGCAATTTTTATAAACTCACTTTAATTTCTGAAAATGCTCAAAAGTTCATGTAATTCATTGAAACTCATTTCCATCCATCAAAATTCATTGCCTTTCGTCAAAATTCATTGTTATTCCTAAAAATTCATTGCTATTCACCAAAATTCATTCACGGCAATTCGCCGAAAACTGGTTAAAAATGGTCCGGAATTGAAGCTTGTTTTCCCCTCCACGCGCAGGAGATCGTGATGGACTTCTTCCTGGCGCGCACGCTGCAGAACCTGCACGTCGTCTTCTGCTTCTCCCCGGTCGGCGAGAAGTTCCGCAACCGCGCGCTGCGCTTCCCCGCTCTCGTGTCCGGCTGCACCATCGACTGGTTCCAGCCGTGGCCGCGCGACGCGCTCGTGCAGGTGGCCAAGCACTTCCTGCACGACTTCGAGATCGCCTGCACGGCGCAGGTCAAGAACGAGCTGGTGGAGACGCTGGGCTCCATCCAGGACGTGGTGGCCGCCACCTCCAGCGAGTACTTCCAGAGGTGAGGCGCCTTCACCGAGTCATAATCAGGATCGACGATCGACATCCCTATTGTGGCCAATAAAGTACTCAGCTAAATTTGGGTGATTATGCTATCTACCTCATAAGTACCAAATATCGGTCCGGAAATTTGGGCCATAAAATTACTCTTACCCAAATCTGGATGATAAAGTATACCTCGCCCAAAATTTGGTATATTGATCAGGACCGGATCAGGACTCTTCTATTCTCTGTGTTTGAGCTCAGCAAGAAAAATTAACATAATCATTCCGATAGTTTTACCCATTTTTGCCAACTTGGCCTCCAGGTTCCGGCGGGCGACTCACGTGACGCCGAAGTCGTACCTGAACTTCATCGCGGGCTACAAGAACATCTACCAGGGCAAGCAGAGGCAGCTGGCGGAGGGCGCGCGCCGCATGGACACGGGTCTGGCCAAGCTGGAGGAGGCCAGCCTCTCGGTGGAGAGCCTCAAGCAGGACCTGGCGGAGATGGAGCAGGAGCTGCAGCAGGCCTCGGAGAAGGCCGAGAGGGTGAGTCCGCCTGAAGGAGGCGAAAATAAGCACGAAGCACTCGAAAGGGTGTTGCTTTTTGCATCTATGGGTCAGGGGGGTTGTTGAATCGTCCGTTAGCCCTTCCCCCTCCCCGGATTCGTGCTCGCCCGTAAGGCTCAGACTCACACAAGGACACCTGGCGCCCTTGTTGCAGGTCCTGATCGAGGTGACGGAGCGCGCCATGCAGGCCGAGACGGTCAAGAACCAGGTGATGAAGGTGAAGGAGAAGGCCGAGGCGCTGGTGGCGTACATCGCCAAGGAGAAGGCGACGGCGGAGCAGAAGCTGGAGGCGGCCAAGCCCGCCCTGGAGGAGGCCGAGAACGCCCTCAACACCATCAAGCCGGCGCACATCGCCACCGTGCGCAAGCTGGGCCGGCCGCCGCACCTCATCATGCGCATCATGGACTGCGTGCTCATCCTGTTCCAGCGCAAGCTGCACGCCGTCATCGGCGACGCGGCCGCCGCCTGCCCCAAGCCCTCGTGGGCCGAGTCGCTCAAGATGATGGCCTCCACCACCTTCCTGCTGCAGCTCCAGAACTATCCCAAGGTAACCCTGCTACCATCCTTACTCGCCGAGGCGCTAAGAAATCATCCCAACTCTCACATAAAACCTATCACGTTAAGGTAGTCTCCCAGCGCATAGTTTCCCAGACGTGTACGCTGTCCCCAACCGGGTGACTGACTGGGACAGCTTGCTGCAAAGCACGCGTTTAGCAACAGTCTACATCCTAGCACACTGCTCGCTTGAAGTGGAGGTGGATTTGGGAGCAGTGCGGCGTGCGGAGTGACCTAAACGCGCGTCTGCTTGCAGGACATCATCAACAACGAGATGGTGGAGCTGCTCCAGCCGTACTTCGAGATGGACGACTACAACATGGACACGGCGAAGCGCGTGTGCGGCGACGTGGCGGGGCTGCTGTCGTGGACCAAGGCCATGGCCTTCTTCCACTCGGTCAACAAGGAGGTGCTGCCGCTCAAGGCCAACCTGACGCTGCAGGAGGCGCGCCTCAAGGTGGCCATGGAGGACCTGGCGGGCGCCGAGAGCCAGCTGAGCGACCGCGAGCGCGCGCTGCAGGAGGTGAAGGACCAGTACGACGCGGCGGTGAGCGAGAAGCAGCGCCTCACGGACGCGGCCAACGTGTGCCTGCGCAAGATGACGGCCGCCACGGCGCTCATCAACGGCCTGGGCGGCGAGAAGGTGCGCTGGACGGCGCAGAGCAAGGAGTTCAAGGCGCAGCTGGGCCGCCTGGTCGGCGACGTGCTGCTGGCCACGGGCTTCCTGTCGTACTGCGGGCCCTACAACCAGCAGTACCGCGCCAACCTCGTCACCACCTGGATGCGCATCCTCAAGACGCGCGTCATCCCCTTCACCAAGGACCTCAACATCACCAACATGCTGGTGGACAGCGCCGAGGTGTCCGAGTGGACGCTGCAGGGCCTGCCCAACGACGAGCTGTCGGTGCAGAACGCGCTCATCGTCACCAAGTCCAGCTCGTACCCGCTGCTCGTGGACCCGCAGAACCAGGGCAAGATGTGGATCAAGAACAAGGAGACGTCCAACGAGCTGCAGATCACGTCGCTCAACCACAAGTACTTCCGGACGCACCTGGAGGACAGCCTGTCGCTGGGCCGGCCGCTGCTCATCGAGGACGTGGGCGAGGAGCTGGACCCCGTCATCGACAACGTCCTGGAGAAGAACTTCATCAAGTCGGGCTCCATCGAGAAGGTGGTGGTGGGCGACAAGGAGTGCGACGTGATGCCCGGCTTCATGCTGTACATCACCACCAAGCTGCCCAACCCGGCCTACTCACCCGAGATCAGCGCCAAGACGTCCATCATCGACTTCACCGTGACGATGCAGGGCCTGGAGGACCAGCTGCTGGGCCGCGTCATCCTCATGGAGAAGTCGGACCTGGAGGCGGAGCGCGTGGCGCTCTTCGAGTCGGTGATGCAGAACCAGCGCAGCATGAAGGAGCTGGAGACGAACCTGCTGTGCCGCCTCACGTCGTCGGAGGGCTCCCTCGTGGACGACGAGGCGCTCATCCAGGTGCTGCAGGAGACCAAGCTCACCGCCGAGGAGGTGAACGCCAAGCTCAAGGTGTCCGGCCAGACGGAGCGCAAGATCACGGTGGCGCGCGAAGAGTTCCGCGCCGTGGCGGCGCGCGGCTCCATCCTCTACTTCCTCATCGTGGAGATGTCCGACGTGAACGCCATGTACCAGAACTCCCTCAAGCAGTTCCTCATCATCTTCGACAACTCCATCACCAAGTCCACCAAGAGCTCGGTGACGGAGGAGCGCATCGAGATTATCCTGCGCTACCTCACGCACGAGGTGTGGGCCTTCACGCTGCGCAGCCTGTACGAGCGCCACAAGGTGCTGTTCACGCTCATGCTGGCCATGAAGATCGACTGCCACCGCGGCATCATCAGCCACGGCGAGTTCATGGTGTTCATCAAGGGCGGCGCCTCGCTCGACCTCAACGCCGTGCAGCCCAAGCCCTTCCGCTGGATCCTGGACATCACGTGGCTCAACCTGGTGGAGATCAACAAGCTGGCCGTGTTCGGGGACGTGCTGTCGCGCATCGAGGGCAACGAGCGCGAGTGGCGGTCGTGGTACGAGAAGGAGAAGCCCGAGGAGGAGGAGATCCCCTGCGGCTACCAGAAGAGCCTCGACGTATTTCGCAAGCTGCTGCTCATCCGGTCCTGGAGCCCCGACCGCACACTGTCGCAGGCAAGTCTGTCTCTCTCGCACACTGGCAGAGGCCGCAGCGGAGCGAGAGAGACAGAGTGACAACTGCGGGACCAACCTAGGCAAGTGACGGACGTGAAGCCAACCCTTGGATTGCAGGCGCGGCGCTACATCAGCGAGTCGCTGGGCCCCGAGTACGGCGAGGGCCGCATCCTGGACCTGGAGGCGACGTGGAGCGAGTCGGAGCCGCGCACGCCGCTCGTGTGCATCCTGTCCATCGGCTCGGACCCCTCGCCGCAGATCACGGCGCTGGCCAAGGCCAAGGAGATCCCGCTGCGCTCCGTGTCCATGGGCCAGGGCCAGGAGCTGCACGCGCGCAGGTAGGGCCGCGAGGGGGCCACCACCCCCGTAATCCTGTGAACAAGTTTGCTGGTAATCTCTGGTAATCCATGGCGTAATCACGTAATCCTTGACAAAATCCTGTCATTTTTCAACGTTTTTGAGTCATTTTCCAACGTTTTCGAGCTATTTTTCAACGTTTTCGAACCAATTTTCGAAAATTTCACGCGTAATCCCTGGTAAATATCCCGTAATCCCGTAATCTTGTGTACGCCTGAAATGAGAGTGGTGGCCCCCTCGTAGGGCCGTGCATCGGCTGCGATTCAAGACGGGTTTGCAGAGTTCGATCCCGAATCATTCGGAATATTGAATGGTTGATGGTTCGTTTGCAAACTAAGGTAGACACATTAGGTAAAAAAAAGTCGGAAAACGACAGAAAAGTTCGAATCGGCATCAACGCGTTAACTTCGATTTGAATTCGATTCGATGACTTTCTCCTGATTCAATTCAAATTCAGCTTTTTTTAAAAAAAAAATTACAGATTCAATTCGAATTTGAAAAAAATTAAAGGTTCAGTTCGGATTTGATTTAAAAAAAAAGTTGAAGATTTGATTCGGATCTGATTGGAAATCCTTGATTCGCAGGCTCATCTCCGACAGCATGCAGGGCGGCGGCTGGGTGCTGCTGCAGAACATCCACCTGTCGCTGCCCTTCTGCAGCGAGGCCATGGACGCCCTGGTGGAGACGGACGCCGTGCACGAGTCGTTTCGCCTCTGGATGACCACCGAGGTGCACCCGCAGTTCCCCATCGGCCTGCTGCAGATGGCCATCAAGTTCACCAACGAGCCGCCGCAGGGCATCCGGGCCAGTCTCAAGCGCACCTACCAGAACATCACGCAGGTGGGGCTAGCACACCGGAGTGGTCCGCCCCTTGGTTGTACTACTCGGGTCCGCGACATGCTCCAACCTTCCTTTTGCTTCGTGCTGCAGGACACTCTGGACTACTCGACGCAGAACCAGTGGCCGCCGCTGCTGTACGCGGTCGCCTTCCTGCACACCGTGGTGCAGGAGAGGCGGAAGTTCGGGCCGCTGGGCTGGAACGTCCCCTACGAGTTCAACCAGGCCGACTTCGCCGCCAGTGTCCAGTTCATCCAGAACCACCTCGACGACATGGACCCCAAGAAGGTAAAGGACTAAGACGAAGCAGAAAAAGTCGATTTGAACGTGGAGGACAATATCAGAACATTCGAACTCTGCACCGCAGACGTAACTGCCGGTTCACACTGTTTTGCGCGTCGCTGCTTTGCATTGCTTTGCAGGGCATCTCGTGGCCCACGGTGTGCTACATGCTGGGCGAGGTGCAGTACGGCGGCCGCGTGACGGACGACTTCGACAAGCGGCTGCTGACGACGTTCACGCAGGTGTGGTTCTGCGACGTGCTGCTGCGGCCCGGCTTCGAGTTCTACCGCGGCTACCGCGTGCCCATCACGCGCAACCTGCAGGGCTACGTGGACTACATCGTCAGCCTGCCGCTCACCGACACGCCGGAGGTGTTCGGCCTGCACTCCAACGCCGACATCACGTAAGTCACCTGGACTTTACTCCCGGGAAGTTGCCTAGTTTTCAGGCTGAGCAGGTTGGCAACCCTTTCGCCACCGGTGGCTACAGTGAACAGTGACGTGTAGGGACGTCGTCAACTGTTGCTGTCGTCGCGACGCAACGTTCTGATTGTGCAGGTACCAGATCAACACGGCCAAGGGCATCCTGGACACCATCTTGAACGTGCAGCCCAAGGAGGGCGGCGGCGGCGGCGGCGAGACCCGCGAGAGCATCGTGTACCGCCTGGCCGAGGACATGCTGGAGAAGCTGCCGCAGCAGTACAACAGCTTCGAGGTGCGCCTGGATTGGATTTCGCCCGCCTTTCGCCTGGCGGTTCCATTCTGACGCGAGCGTGTTTGCAGGTCAAGGAGGCCCTGCAGCGGATGGGCGCGCTGCTGCCCATGAACATCTTCCTGCGGCAGGAGATCGACCGCATCCAGCGCGTCATCGCCGAGGTGTCGTCCACGCTCAACGACCTCAAGCTGGCCATCGAGGGCACCATCGTCATGAGCCAGGGGCTGCGCGCCGCGCTCGACGCCATGTACGACGCGCGCATCCCGGACCGCTGGCAACGGGTCAGTCTCGACACTCTCAAGTTTGCAGAGTACTTTAGGGGAAAGTGTGGCTTGTTGTGTACCTTTCTGGAGTGGGGGGTGGCAACCTCAACGTGGAAAAATCCTCGAAAAAAAATTAAAATGCCTCGGTATTTGAACTTGTGACTTTGGTGCCCGCAGGTGTCGTGGGAGTCGGCCACGCTGGGGTTCTGGTACACGGAGCTGCTGGAGCGCGACGCGCAGTTCCGGCGCTGGGTGTCGCACGGCCGGCCCATCACCTTCTGGATGACGGGCTTCTTCAACCCGCAGGGCTTCCTCACGGCCATGCGGCAGGAGGTGACGCGCGCGCACAAGGGCTGGGCGCTGGACTCGGTGGTGCTGCAGAACCTCATCACGCGCCACAACAAGGAGGACCTGCACGACTCGCCGCCCGAGGGCGTCTACGTGCACGGCCTGTTCCTGGAGGGCGCCAGCTTGGACCGCCGCAGCGGCAAGCTCATCGAGAGCAAGGCCAAGGTGAGTCCAAAGCGAGGGGAAGTGGGTCCGGATTTCTGTGTACAAAATTTTGCATCGCACATGAATATTAAATGGATTTAATCGAACTGCAGCGGAATTTTCATGAATTTCGGTCCAAAACTTCACTGATTTTGAAAAAAAAAATTAAATTCCGACTATGAAGTTTGAAGAAAATTTGACTAGTGTGTAGTCACATCTGGTGACAAAATTTTGACCAGCCAATAACGACAAATTTTTCACTATCTGACAATAATTTTTCACCAGACTTGATAATGCTTACTTTTTTCCTGTTAATACCCAAGATAATCCATAGTTATATATTTAGTGTGAGGTGCAGGCTTTTGGATCGTTTCTAACGAACTATTTTCTTAATGACGTGAAATTAAAAACTAATTACCGGTAATCTGATATTCCCGCCGCGCGAGCGCGATAGCCCGTTGCCGGCGCCGGGGCTGGGCTGCCGCTGTCGCGCCTGTCCGGGACGTTCGATCCGCCTTCCCTTCGCCCCTTCCTTCCGCCTCCCCCTCCCCCTCCCCTCCCCTCCCCCTCCCCTCCCCTCCCCTCCCCTCCCCTCCCCCTCCCCTCCCCCTCCCCTCCCCTCCCCCTCCCCCTTCCCCGCTGACGTGCGCGCGCTGGCCGTGCCGGTGGTGCCGGCGAGGGACGTCGCGGCGGCGTCATGCACCCACTGCACCCACTGCCCTTGGCGGCCTAGTTGCTACCCCCTGCCGGCGTGTACTCGGCCAAAAACAGGCAGCACTGCATTTCGACGAATGGTACCAGCGTCACTTTCCTTGGAATGTGAATCAGCGCGCATCTGCGTTCAAATGGGACGCGGCCGCGCGAGGTCTGAGCGTGTCTTGCTTACTCTAATCGCGACGATGATGTCATCGAGATAAGATTGGTCACGCTTGTGACCGATCAGAGTTCAGCGTTTGACAGTTTATAGACAGTACCGCCAAATTTAAGACTACGCGACGAAATATTTCAAGTTCCACCGACCGTGTTCGTTGAATAACTGGGCAAGGCGAGCAGAATCGTTGACACCGCGCTGTGCTCGCTGCGCAGGTGCTGTACGAGCAGATGCCCGTCATCTACATCTACGCCATCAACACGACGGCCGGCAAGGACCCCAAGCTGTACGAGTGCCCCATCTACCGCAAGCCGCAGCGCACGGACCAGAAGTACGTCGGCTCCATCGACTTCGAGACGGACAACAACCCGCGCCACTGGACGCTTCGGGGCGTGGCGCTCCTGTGCGACATCAAGTAGGGCGTGCGCGCGCCGTCGGCAAGGTGCACGCCGTCGACGTGGTGCACGCCGTCGGCAAGGTGCACGCCGTCGACATGGTGCACGCCGTCGACATGGTGCACGCCGTCGACATGGTGCACGCCGTCGACATGGTGCACGCCGTCGGCAAGGTGCACGCCGTCGACGTGGTGCGCGCCGTTCCGCACGGCGGACCGCGCGCCGGCAGTGGCTTCTCTCATTCGATTGACTGTGATATACGCTGTTACCCGTTGTTGTTTTCCTGTTGCATGTTTCTCGTTTATTCTTTAATTGGCTGAGCGATAGCGAAGCCCTTGCCGTGTTTGGGCGCTCCAAAAACCGACGGTCGTGAGTCTGTCTGTCCGTCTGTGAGTCTGTAGCGTACCGCTCACGTTTCTCAGCAACTCATCACCAATTGTTCCAAAATTTCGTACTGAACATCTTCAAAGTGTCCCACGGGGGATTTTATCTAGATCAACAATTATCATCTTTTGGAATATTCAAAACATCGTTTTGAACTAGGTCATTATCGTTGTTAGGTTGGTAGCAGCGTGTGGCTGACCAATTTCTCATCCCGGCTGCCCCCTTCCAAGCCGTCTGCAAGACGAGAGGCACTTTTGCAATTAAAAAACTAAAGAGAAAAGGGGGTTCTCAAAAAGGTACTGAGATATTTTTTTAACATTCTAGCATGATTGAATCCCTTCCGGAGTGTCAAAAAAAAAATACGAAAACTGAATGTGAGAAGGTTTGGTTTTTCTTTCCCCCTCTCCCCCCCTCCCCCGTCACAGGGGAATCTTTCTTCAGGTCAGTGCACTGTGAGTGTTTGTGGATTGTAAAATAATGTTTTCTTTGCCTTTGGGGCATCTACTTTTTTATTCTCTCTGATACTATCCTTTTTTGAATTTCGTTGAAAATCAAAACAGGTAAATGCACGAATAACTTCTTTTGAAATTAGAAGACATGTTAATTGTCTTGGTTGTCTCAGTAAATGACATTTCCCTTGCAATGCTGCAAGCTAACATTAATATTCTAGTACTAACATCTATTGATTAAAAGAATCCCTAAATAAATGTATTTAGTGCAAAAATAAACCATATATTTAGTGCTAACAGATTTTAAAAGATATTGGGTTCAATGAGACGATTCAGGTTGAGCGGGGGTGACTTGGTAATTGATTTAATGGGACGATTTCCTTTTACTTCACCAAAGCTTGTGTCCGTCAAGGAACTAAGTATTTGGGAAGATTTAAAAGCTGGCTTTCTGAATGTAAGCCAAAGTTAATAATACTGTATTCTTTTACTCTGAAGATAAAATATCACAAAGGGATGAATAAGGTAAATTAAGTTGGCGTATTGAGCAACATTTGGGCCCCTGCATTTTACTTCAGAGACGATTCACTGAATTTGACAAAACTTTGGGCTCCGTCGAATGCTTCAGATCAGCCTGCCCTAAACTGAGTCGCTTGATAAAAAATATGATTACATATTCCGTCTATATTGTTTTAAATTTACTGGTTTTAAAAGAAAGAATGACAAAAGGCTTTCCAATATAACGAATAAATTTGTGAATTCATTAGTTTGAAGAAAAAGATGTATCGAATAGTGAGTCAAGCAAGAGTAGCTAATTAAGCGATTCAATGCTGGCAATGGAATGTTGCTCGACTGAAGGAATCGCATTGGTGTGGCATCAGGGTATTGGTAACGACAAAGGGTGATCCATGAAGACCAACCCAGACCCATTCTTTACCTATTATTGATCATTTTAAATCAATATTTTTTAATCGAATCTCATATTGATTCTTGGAGTTTTTTGAGTGCTGATAACAAAAATCACCTCCATTTCGACTCCAGACTTACATTTTAATCCCAAATTAGGTCATTTCGGACCAAAATTTTCAGGTCGAGTTTTATATGGTTTCCTGCAGTGTTTGATGAGCTGAACTCAAAAATAACTTCCAAATTTTTCCCAGACACACGCTTTACCAAATTTTGACCAAATTTGGACCAAAATTTTGTATTGAGTTTGATGTTGATCCCAACAGTTTTTTGTGTGCTGATAACAAAAATCACCTCCATTTCGACTCCAGACTTATATTTTAATCCCAAATTAGGTCATTTTGGACCAAAATTTTCAAATCGAGTTTTATATTGTTTCCTGCAGTTTTTGGTGCGCTGAACTCAAAAATGACTTCCAAATCTTTCCCAGACTCACGCATTACCGAATTTTGACCAATTTTTGACCAAAATTTTGGAATCGAGTTTCACGTTGATCCAAACAGTTTCTTGTGTGCTGATAACGAAAATCACTCCCATTTATACCCCAGACCTACATTTCACTCAATATGAGCCCACAAGCTGCACATTTCGTCTACTTAAGCAAAGTCCGAAGTGCACAAATTCGCATCGCTCAGCCACACTACGCGCCCACACTAAACGGCGCGTACCCCTAGTAATAGATTACCGTTAAAATTTACTCTCATCGTTTCGTTCCTATTTGCGCTTGAATAAGTTTTCCCCCTCCCCGCGGCTCCTCTCGCGCGAGCGTACCTTCCAACTGTGATGGGGTTCAATCACTGCTCGGCCCGCCCAGCTGTTTCCCTGCGCCGGGAAGGGCAGGGAAGGCAGGCCGTCGGGAGAGTGTTGTTTACACGTGACCTATAGTCGGGGCAGCCCCCCGCCCCCTCCCCCTCCCCCTTCCACACGGAGCTGCGCCCGAGCCTCTTTCGAGGAAAACCCGACGCATCCCCGTACGTCCTCCACGAAGACACCCCTGCTGCTGCCCATCTCTCTCTCTCTCTCTCTCTCTCTCTCTCTCTCTCTCTCTCTCTCTCTCTCTCTCTCTCTCTCTCTCTCTCTCTCTCTCTCACCACCCCCGCTCCCCAACTGTCCGAGCGCAACAGCGAGGGGCACATGGCGGACACCACGGCGGCGTCTTCTTGTCTCCGCCAGCCGCCTGATTCCGAATAATCGTTTCGTCGCTCTCTCTGTCGCACTCATGGGGCCTTCCGTACGGGTGCGAGAGAGACGGGGCGACGGAGCGATCCTTCGGCATCAGGCGGCAGACCTCGCTCGATCGGATGGATCGGAAACGACACCCGCGAGTAGTGCAGTAGCTTCCGTTTCTGTCACTCTCACGCCACCAGGGGTTCGATTCTGCCAGATTCCGCACACTGCGTTCCTAGCTCTGTCTCTCTCGCACTCGCGGGTTGTCCCGTCAAAACAGTGCGAAGTGAGGCGCCTCCCTGCCTGGAGCTGGAGGGGCCTGGAGGGCCATCCAGGCCGAGGCGGTGAAGTGCCGCGTGAGAGAGGGACATGGGCGCAACGGACTGTTTCCGAGCACTGCTCTCGTCGCTCTGTCTCTCTCGCGCCAACGGGGCGTGGCGTAATGGTGCGAGAGAGACAGAGCGACGAAAACGACTCTTCAAAAAGTCAGTCTGCAGTCGCGGCCGTCACAGGCCGTGGCGTCAACCGGCACCGATCGCGAGTCGTCTTCGCGGCTCTATCCCTCTCGCACCTGCAGGGCGCGCCCCACGAGTGCGAGGGAGACAGCCGAGCGACGAAGGCGACTGCAGTGTGCTGTGCAGTGTGCAGGCCTGCAGGAGGTGCGGCGTGAATGTGATCTCCATGTGTCGGCCGGCGCCGCTCCACGCCGCTCATGGCGCGGCGTATATGGCACCATCGAGGAACTAATAGCGCCTCGTGGTCGCCCCCCCCCCCCTCCACCGCGCTGCACGGCCAGTGCAGGGCCAGTGCACGGCGTGCACGGCCCCGGCTGAGGGAGGCGGCAACACAGACCAATGTAAACAATGTAAAAACTATACCGGCGGGGCCCGGGGCGGGGCGGGGCGGGGCGGGGCGGGGCGGGGCGGGCAGCACACAGGGTTGCCCTGGTTGCCCCCGCACCCCGGCCCTGCGAGGACCGCGTTGAGTTGGGCCGCCGCGCTCAACTCCACCGCTCGCCAGCAAGACCACCCACGTCAATACGGTGTCCCGACTGCGCGGCGCGGTCATCGTCGCTCTGTCTCTCTCGCACTCACGCGGTGTTGCGTAGGGGTGCGAGAGAGACAGAGCGAGGGGTTGAATGACTGAATCGATGGCGAGCGGCTCTTTGCCCGCGTTGGTACCGAACGGCCGCTATTTCGGTTCACACAACTCACTACCCCGGGGGTGGCGGTGGCGGGCCGTGGGGCGGCAGGGCGCTGGGGCCGGCAGGGTGGCTCGCGGGGTAAGTTATGTGCAATGCAGGCCTAATGTACCGAGGCGCGGCCGCCAGGGCGCGAGGCGCAGCGTGGCACGCCACGGCACGGCACGGCACGCGGCGTGGCATGGCGATGCGTGGCAGGCACGCCACGGCACGGCGTGGCGAGGCGCGAGGAATGTGCCGAAGCGAGGAAACAGGCGTGGGTGCGGCTGTGGGGCCGGCGGGGCGCCCCTGGCTGCTTGTGTGTTTAGCTAATTTTAACCCTTTGGCTCATCATTGGCCCCGGCCGCCCCGGCCCCCCGGCCAGCCGCCCCGCCCCGGGCGAGCCGTCCAGGCCGAGGGCCGTGCCGTGCCGTGCCGTGCCGCGCCCCGACGTGCCGCGCAGTGCTTCCCGCCAGACTCAAAGCTCGGGGGCCGTCCGACATGACGGCGGCGGCCCCAGGGGGACGTCCAAGACGTCCAAGACGTCCAAGACGTCCACGGCGGACAGGGCCAGCATGGCGGTGGCCGGCGCACTGCGGCGCCAGCGCGGCGCCACGCCACTCACCGTGAGCATTGAACCACGGCCATGCCGATGGGGAGGGGAGCCTACAGTGTCGGCATCAACAGTGCGCAGCCTATGACGCGTTGCATCTGGTGGTTGAATCGGGGTGTTTGAGATGGGTTTCAAATCAGGCGTCCGGGACTTGCCGGAACGTTGGCCACGTTCCGGAGGTTCGGGGATTGTTTCGGTGAAACCAGGGTTACGATGTGAGTTTGTGGGTGGAACCATGGAAAATGGCTCTCGACAGAAAGCTTCCACGTTCTGGAACGTGTTTCAAGACCCCTCTGGTT